CCAGCTTGATTCGTGTTTCATCACGTCTGCAGACATAGTTGTGCAAGCCTTGTGGAATATCAATAAGGGTCCGCTCTACACCTCATTAGTACCTCTCAATTGGAGCCTACCAGCATAACTACAGTGGTTTTCAACACAAACAAAGCTGAGAACCTCAGAGAACATTGTTCATTAAATAGTATAGTATACAACAGAATAAATCTTTATTATTAAAAAAGAAAAGAAAAAGATAAACAGTTTAGCAGCTCTCTAGGACTGGCACATGTAAAAACTGATATATAATAACATTACATAAATCTCAATAAAGATAACCACAGTGAAGTGATATATACAAAATAGTGGAAAATAAAAGATGTATAGTGCAAAGTACATGAGCTGTTATTGCACTTATGTTTATTAACATAGATTATGATTACCCTCATAGCCAAAAAGCCACAATAAAAATACTGGCTTCTGATTACCATGCAAATTAACATAGCATAGAACAACTAACACAGACACAGTGGATTTTATAAAGGGATTTCTTGGGAATGGTAGCAAATACCAAATATCTGTTTAGTAATTTCTGTGCAGATCATTCCAAACATCATCGGAGCTGATTTTGGCAAAACTGCACAAGATTTATTATTATTTATTATTTATCTTTAAAAAATACATATGAAACTCTAGGTGGCACTGTGTTTAAACTTCTCAGGTATCTCCAGGACATGCTGCCGATGATCCCTACCAAATTTTGTGCTGGTATGTTAAATGGTTTAAAAGCTATTGCAATTTATGACAAATTTCAAAAAGGTAAACAGGTGGTTTGTTCAATCCCAAAATCAGTATCCATGAACTTAGCATGACCCATGGAATCCATTGAGATCATGATTTTCTGACAAACTTTTAAAAAGTTATGTGCAAAAAAAGCAATTTTTCAGAACTCATGACTTGTATGTGGCACTGTTGCCAAGTTGCTGATAAAGCATACCGTGTTTAATTCCAAAAGATCAAAATATTGCCAAGTTATGACCTCTAAACCAAGTTTTGGTTAACTTTGTTACATAACTTTTGAACAAATATGTATATTGAAATTCTGTTCAGTCATTTCTGTGCAACTTAGTCCAGGTATCACCTAAGCCAATTTTAGTAAGAACTGGAGTAGTGAAAAAATGAAATACTAGGCCCGTCATGATAGTCGACTGGATTGATTTATCGCACCATGTATGGACATAACTGTAATAATTTTAGGCCCTTTCACACCAAGGACAATAACTATAATGATAGCCGTAATAACTGTTCTAATTCTATGACGAAAGTCTTCACACCACAGATATAATGATAGTGATGGTGGTGCTACACAGTTGGTCCTAGAGACCTCAAAACTGGTCAGATTACTATGCATGACCACCACTATAAGTGTTCAAAATTTCATATTTTTAGGACATATGGTTCATAGCTTGGCCTCTAAATATCCCTTGTGAAAGGAACATATTGTGTGACATTTTGAATCAAGCTCAAATTATATAAAAAGCATGTGAAAATAGTGTTATTTTTTGTATTTATGTTTTCACACAACCAAGACAACTCCACTAAAGTTGGCTACAAAAAACAGGATGAAACATTTAAATTGCTCCTTCTGGTCATGTGTTTGCACTCCAGAAACCGGCAGGCTCCAGATCACTGATTAGCCTTGGCACATTCGCCTTGTGGGAGACACCTGGGGTTGCTGTTGCACACTTTTCAACACATCTCATCTGGACAAGATAAGCAGGAGCGAATGTTAATAGCAGGAGTAGGCTAGAAGTTATAGTCGCAAAATATGGAGTGGCATTTCTTATGGAGGTGGAGAGCATGCCTGGTGGGGCTTCTTCATAGAAGTGCGGCGACCAGTTAATGATGCGATTCTTACCCAGAGTGGGATTGCTGATTAGTCACGTTTATAGACTCAACTTGGGTAATGGGAAATCAGTCGGATACAACCTCCCACTTGTCTTTATGAAAAGATGTATGATAGGATACTTATTACTGCAGCATTCAGAGCACTCAGAGTTTTTTATTCTTTTGACACAAGGAAATTAACAGCCTTTTTTCTGCTTATATCTTAGCTGTTTCTTCTTGATTAACTTAACAGTCAAATGCTTTAATACAACTCAATGTGATGTTCTATTCTGAAAACAATGTTCTATTCTGAATTACTCCAGTCTGTTTGGCCTTGTTATAAATTATCTAGATTACATATAACTAATGAATAAATGTAGTCTCGTATATCAGAACACGTTATTCAAAATCTGCTTTAGATAGTCAGACCAGGATTACTATTTAAGCACAGGGTTTTAATTTTTTTTAAAGGGATAGTTTACCTAAACATTATAATTTATTCATCGTTTACTCACCCCCTCAACATGTATGAATTACTTTTTTCTGTTGAATATAAAAGAAGATATTATGAAGAATGTTGGTAACCAAAATGTTGATGGTTCCCATTGACTTCAGTAGTATTTTTTCCATACCATGGATGACATTTATGTTATTGCAGCAGTTAGAGATCCATCTATGTAAGATAATATAGGTCCAGGTCACTAAAGTCCCAAATATGTATTGATGATTGGTGAAACGTTCATGCATTTAACAGTTAAATATCTAAGTGAATGCATTAAAATTGCATTTATGTATTTTTTTTAACAAATTAATAGATTATTGGACTAAAATATAGTACAAATAAAAGAAATAGTGATGCATGCTTAAGCAAACCACTCAATATTAAAATATGAGTGAATGTCTAAGCCTGTGTGAGCTGAACACCAATTCTAAGGAGTCTGTCTTGAAGGTTGTGGGTGTGCGAAGGATAATGGTGATGGTGGGCCGCAAAGAATAAGATGGTGAAGATGAAATATGACTATACACCTGAGCAAACTGCACTGCATGTATTAGTTTTAGCTTGAAAATTATGGAGTTAGCACAAGATAAAAGACAACAATGAATAAAGCAAAGGAAGTTCATAAAGAACAAAGAGATGAAAGGGAAATGATAAAACACATACAATGGTAACAGTGTCAGTACAAGAACCTAAGCGGCATTATTCAATATTTACTGAAGGGAAAAACTAACTTCTAGGTGTAGAAACATTGGGGACTTTGAAAAGGACAGATGGAGAAGAAAATTAGAAGATGACAGGATTGGAATTGGCAGGACTCTGTCCTGGCCGCTCTGTTTATTTAATGATTCTATGTTTGTTCTGTGAGCACACGGCTTCATCTTGTTTATGTTGGTCATGTGCTCCCCTTGTCCTGCTCCTTGTTTCCCTTTACCACGCCCTCTCGTTTAGTCGTTGTCTAGTCCTTGTTTAACTAATTGTTCTCACTTGCTCCTTGTGTGCTTTCCTCTCTATTTATTGTGTTCTCTTGCCTCATTAGCTGTTTCCATCATTTTTTATGCACATTTTTCAGTATCGCATCAGAAACGAATGATGGATACTCCAAATTTTGAAAAAAACAAAAACAACACTTAATTTGCATATTAAATGATGCAAATGATTGCATCATTTCACATGGGTGGTTCCTAACTAGAAACAGTAGAATTTTGATATGTAGTTCCTGTTCTCATGGTTTTATTTATGATTGCCTTATGATTAGTCCATAGTGTGTTTCCATAGTTGCCCTCCAAAGCAACTTATCACTTTCACCTGTTCCTTGTTTCATCCCGTAATATATTGTGGATTTAAATCCCAGTGATTCCTATGTTCTTTTTCTCATGTTGTCGTGAATAGATGCTACGTGTGCATGTTTCAGTTCTAGTTTTCCTGCATCTAGAATATCCTCTTTTCAACCTGGATTTATTTTTGTTGTGTTTGTTTAAATAAATGTGTCTACTGCATATATATCCAACTCTCGCTTATTTCTGAAACAGTCATGTTACAATATGATAAGTCTAGTTTCAGTATGTTGGATTCACACTGCACAATTTAGCCCTAATTTTGACAATTTTTTTGTGGAAATCGCCAGCAAATGCCCAAAACCAGAGGCAAATTGTGTGTGAGAAAGTCTGTCTCTTGCGTAATCTTACATTATTTCCTGTATGAGTTCTCACGTGTGTTACATTGTGAAACATAGTTTGTAGACAAGGCAGAGATGTCAGCGATTCTTCCTATTGAAAAGTTGTGTAATGTGAAAATCGTGCAGTGTGCGGCTTGAGTGAATCAGGAAAAAAAAAACGAAAACATCTTTGAATCATATTCAGATTGCAATCTGTAAAATAATGTGATTTAAAATACGATATCTTTAGCTGTGGTTCTGCGTAATATTCAGAACAGTGGTGCATGAAATGCTGCTGCACTCTATCAAGAACGGTTTGTGAGAAGTGTCAGAAATTCATTTATTCTGTAGCTGATTGCAGAAACTTTCTCATCAGTAACATCCTCCACAGTAATGCTGGCAGAATGAGCCCTGCTTTGCACCTGATGCTCCGGCCCTCGATAAAAAGCAAACCGCAGATGAAGTCAGACACCATGCCAAAGTTGATGTGCGCTCAATAAGCTATAATCTCTTAACTTCAGCTGGCTTAAAGACCTGTGCAAATAGGCTGCTGAAGGAGATACAGCTGCAATGCTCTTGTGTTTATCTTTTCCTTTTCTGTCCTGTCAGCATTACTTTTTTTTTTACTTAATTTGACTCCAGGTTTCGGTCCATCTAATCTGTAATTAATTAGGTGCTTGTGTGGTGGCTGTGGTAATTACACCATTTCAAAACAGAATCCATCACTATCCAGGTTTAGGACTTCTCTGAAAAACTTTTACACAGAAAACAAACTTTTCAAATAATCCCTGGTGTTCTTGTTTACTGAATGCTTCCTGTTGTTTCATAATGACAGATAAAAACAAAAGCATCTTTACAAATATAAGGCACAGCATGTTTTGATGTAGTCTCATAATGTAAACAGCAGCTCTATGCTGCACGTATTATTTGCCGGATTACTCGCAGAGCACATCTGTGCATTAGTAAACAAACGGAAGAAAAGCTCACCGAAGACGGTACGTGCTGGAACGGACTCCCGGTTCAACCAGAAGGAGACCTGAGACAGAATGACGGTCATTATGCAGGGGAGATACGTCTGGATCACGAAATAGCCAATTTTCCTTTTCAAATGGAAATACGTTGTCATCACAACATATTCTCCTATATAAGAAATGAGAAAAGAGAAGAGAGAGACCATAAGATGGATGAATTATTGATGAGACAACACATATTCAACAATAAAATATTCAGAATTTTATTTATGGATGATCATGCAGGAAGAGCAACTGAGATATAGGAGGTGGGGGTCTTGTGTTCGAGATGAGGTTTAACTGATTGTTTCTTGTAGATCACAGCACCAACGACGGAGGATTCGAGTGTTTTCCCAGCATGGCTGGGACAGATTGGATGTTCTAACCTTAACAGTGGGAAGGAAGTGATAGACAATTGCTCAATCTGAAAGCCCTGCTATTTTGTTCTCTCTGAAGGTCTGACAGAGCATGAGGGGCTGCAATTATGTCAGATGACCAATTTGCACTGCTAAAGTCATTTAATTTTGGTTCGAAATGTTGTACATTTCCATAAAAATCGAAGGAAATCTTATTATTCAGTGGCTGGTCTATCACATATCAGGAGAAGTAGGAGACTCATGCAAAAGTCTACATTTTCTCTCCATTTCTTCTTTGCTACAGCATAGACTCAGTCATATGGTACAATAAGAACATTTCCTGTTTTCGCAGCAAATTCTGTTCTAGCACAAAGCCCCATGGCCATGTCGATAACGGTTTAGTATAGGGACCAATTCTCACTATCAACTAGTTGCTTATTAGCATGCCTATTATTAAAATAATGGCTGTTTATTAGTACTTATAAAGTACATATTATGCATGACCATATTCTACATCCCTAATCCTACCCAATACCTGAACTTAACAACTACCTTACTAACTATTAATA